CCCCCCCCCCCCCTCCTCCTCCTTCCACCGCTGCTGCCCCCCCACCTCCCCCCTAGTCTGCCTTCGCGTACACCGCAGTTGTTCCGGACGCTGACGCTTCAAGCGAGGCAGCGAGCGACAACGCCATCAACGGCGGTGGAGCGACCAACGCGGCGAGAATGGTGACGGTTCGGCGGCTGAGAGTCTCCACGGTTAGGACCGACTCTTCTCCCAGCGTCGAAGTTGTGGCGACCGCGGCGGACCCGGCGACCGTGGCCGCGGTACTAGCCCACAAGGTTGTCTCCGAAGCCCGAAGGAGGTGTGGCACACGGGATGTTACAGGAGTCTGCCGTTATACGCGTCTCCCTTGTGCGTGTGGGCGACCTCTCTCTTGGTCGCCCAGACCTGTCGGGAGCGGGATTGCACGCGTTTGCTTTTTTGAACGGGGGCCGGTGCATATAGTCTCACACGATTCGCAACGACAAGAGAAATATATTGCCGGGTCGGGTGCTTACTTGCCTAAGGGTCTCAAGCACACTTACTTTTGGTGGTGATGTCTTGAAAACGATGCGGATGTTGTCAGTCGCCGACGATGTCCTTCCTAGTTGAAGGTGTGTTTCGCGCTTGTGTGAAGACCTTACGACGCATGGCCAAAGAGGTCAGGCCGCACACACTCCCACGAACCTCATGTTCCACGAACCTCGGAGACGCAAACAAGACGGCGTTACAGCCACTTGACGTTTGCACAAAAATCGGCACGGTAGACACTTATTTCTTCAGTCGATACCAGAGTATGCTCTTTTACCAACCGCGTAACCCGTTTTTTCTTTTTCTCTTTGTGCGTACCACCACTATTGCAGCGGCTTCGCCGAGGCCCGCGGACTCCTACGCGACTGGCTGGCTAACTTCATCTCCGGCCTGGCCGAGAGCTTGGAGGCGTCCGAGGGCGGGAGGGAGAGCGCCATTCCCGGCGGCGGCGGGGTCGAGCAGGCCCAGGCGCTGATGGCCAACCCGCTGATCGTGGGCGTGGCGAGGCAGGTGTTCGGCCTTCTACAATCGCCGGTACTGCACCCCACGAAGGGCATCGCTGACGAGAGGTGAGTAGGTGGACGGCGGGAGTGCAGCATGTTTAAGGGCCGCGTCACTCTCTTGCTTAAAAGCAATCTACACCACAAGGAGAGATGCTGTCGTGTGTCTCGTGAATCTCAAGTACACATCCTAAATGGACTTGCATACGCGCTTCACGGTGTGGGCTACCGTTGTACTCATTCCTGCCCGGCGTTTTTGTTCCATCGTGTCCGTGCACCGTGCAGGGTGAGCTTGCTCAGCCGTCTGTCTTCGTTGGACCCGGAGTCGCTGTCGATCGCGCTCTACCCCGAGATGCAGGGTTACGCTACCCCAGACATCCGCCTGGCCAACAGCCTCTCACTCTCTAGGTGAGTAGCACTCATCTTGCCTTTTGTCGGCTCAAGCAGTGGTATCTCCGAAGTGGATCTCCCAAGTGGGAGGGGGGGCATTATCTTATGTTTTGCATGCCTTGGCGGTTAGACAATTGACCACGCGTCCTTTAGACGGAGCATTGCTCCCACAGGACCGATCGCCGATGCCCAATCGTTCGCTTCTACTTTGCCAATGGTGGCTCAAAANGGGGGGGGGGGGGGGGGGGGGGGGGGGGGGGGGGGGGGGGGCATGTTTTGCATGCATTAGCGGTTAGACCATTGGCCACGGATCTACGAGGCAAAGTGCTTTATCCCCCAAGTGATCGAGGACGGTGTTGGAGTGTTCCTCGCTCTTCTCCTTGACGAGTGTTCGGCAGGCTTGGCACTTGCATCAACACCTCGGTGGCTCTTGCCGTCTGTGCGGAATCGCGACTAGGCGATCGTTTAACGATGCTCCCTATTTTTTTTTTGAATATTGAACAACGATGGCGCATTTCCGACCATGCTGCTGGCCCACCCCTCCGGTTGACGTCTCCCTCTTCCGCCCCCCGCTGTTCCCAGGCAAGCGGTGACCGAAGCCTCCCCAGCCTGCCGAATCTTCGTGGTGGACACGTTCTGGCGGGTGGTTGTACACTACGCCGACTCTCCTGTATCCCTCGCTGCCGGCGAGGCGGCGGGCGAGGCTCCCCTCCCTTTCCCCCCCTCCCGAGACTCTGCCATAGGGCAGTACTTGGAGATGAGACGGGCGGTACGGCCGTTGGCGGGTCAAGAGGTGGTTTACAGCCGACCAGGGACACCTGAGGTGCGCTGTTTGTGCTAGCATAGGGCGCGCTGAGCTGCGTAGGTCGGGTTTAATGCCTTTGTTCTTCTCTGGGATTCTTCTGCTGTACCTAGTTTTGGATAATTTTTTTCTCCCCAGATTCATGCAGTGCAGGTCCGGAGCTTAACTACGTTGGGTTTAATGCCTTTGTTCTTCTCTGGGATTCTTCTGCTGTACCTAGTATGGATATTTTTTTTTTCTCCCCAGATTCATGCAGTGCAGGTCCGGAGCTTAACTACGTTGGGTTTAATGCCTTTGTTCTTCTCTGGGATTCTTCTGCTGTACCTAGTATGGATATTTTTTTTTTCTCCCCAGATTCATGCAGTGCAGGTCCGGAGCTTAACTACGTTGGGTTTAATGCCTTTGTTCTTCTCTGGGATTCTTCTGCTGTACCTAGTATGGATATTTTTTTTTTCTCCCCAGATTCATGCAGTGCAGGTCCGGAGCTTAACTACGTTGGGTTTAATGCCTTTGTTCTTCTCTGGGATTCTTCTGCTGTACCTAGTATGGATATTTTTTTTTTCTCCCCAGATTCATGCAGTGCAGGTCCGGAGCTTAACTACGTTGGGTTTAATGCCTTTGTTCTTCTCTGGGATTCTTCTGCTGTACCTAGTATGGATATTTTTTTTTTCTCCCCAGATTCATGCAGTGCAGGTCCGGAGCTTAACTACGTTGGGTTTAATGCCTTTGTTTTCTTAGAGCTCGCTTCGTTTGCGCGAGTACAGCAGTACTTGCGTCGGGTTCTATTTTTGCTTGGCGTGTGCATTAAGTGCACGGTCCGGGGCCTACGTACTCCGTCGGCGGAATCATGGAAGCCGACCAGGGACACCTGAGGTGCGCTGTTTGTGCTAGCATAGGGCGCGCTGAGCTGCGTAGGTCGGGTTTAATGCCTTTGTTCTTCTCTGGGATTCTTCTGCTGTACCTAGTTTTGGATAATTTTTTTCTCCCCAGATTCATGCAGTGCAGGTCCGGAGCTTAACTACGTTGGGTTTAATGCCTTTGTTTTCTTAGAGCTCGCTTCGTTTGCGCGAGTACAGCAGTACTTGCGTCGGGTTCTATTTTTGCTTGGCGTGTGCATTAAGTGCACGGTCCGGGACCTACGTACTCCGTCGGCGGAATCATGGACGGCAGCATGTCGATTGATTTACCCACCGTTCTCGTCGGTCTGCTGGAAGCAGTCTCATTTTCTGCAGATCTGTTTCTCACTTCTTCCGAATAATTGAAAACCGTGCAGGCGTTTTTCTTCGAAGAGACCTTGCTGGAAGACCGACCTCTGCCCAGAGCGGAGAAGGCGGAGACGTTCAAGAGCTTTTTCGCGGAGATAATCCGAGATGTTCTACAGACGTCTTAGCAATAGGGGCGCGTGAACAGTGCACACATCCCAAGGGTTGAATTTCACGCGGAAGTGGATACGACTGCATGCAATGATCTGCCCACCCTAGGCGGCTCCAGCATGAAAGTAATTTGCTTTCAGCAAGGAGACGCTTTTGCGAGCATTTTTGAGGCCACGTGCGTGCCAAAAAAAACTGTTGTTGTAATTTGTAAGGCCTTTCTTATCTCATGTGTTTCTGTGAATTATTGTTGTTGTAAGCGTTTTGCGCACTCTGCCACGCGGAGGCAGCGTCCTTGCTACAAGTAGGTGTCAGGTTCGGTGAATCTCACCCTGGTTGGGATTCTTAAGGGTTGCGTGCGCACACGCTGTTGCACAATAGCCGGCAATTGGTTAAGCAAACGACAGGTCCACCATGACAGTGAGTCCAACCCTTGCTAGTCTGGTCTAATGCCAGTATCTGCACTGAAGCATAGCCCCCTGCCCCGGCCGCCTCCGCTGTGGCAAGGGTGAGAAAGCTGGAATAAATGTTTGTGTGTTCGTGCCGTGTGTTGAACACAAGCAATCAAGTTTAACGCAAGCAATTGCCCGATCAACAGCGCAAAACAAGGTGTAAGTATGGGGACTCCTGGCGCACCATAGCCTGGGGTCAAGCCTTCTTGGCAGCAGCAGCTCTCTCGGTATGTACCCGTCAATCCCGAGCAGCGTCGTGATATGCATCAAGGACCAAGGGCGTGTTTGGTACGGTACCGGTATTTTCGGTAAGGTATTGAAATCCGTACCGAACGTACCGAGCATCCCGGTATGATATGACAGTCCATACCGGTACCGTACCGAACATCTCGGTATTTGTACCGAACTTACCGAAAACTTCGGTAAGGTATTGAAGTCCATACCGAACGTACCGAACACTTCGGTAAGGTATTGAAGTCCATACCGAACGTACCGAACATCCCGGTATGGAATGGCAGTCCATACCGGTACCATACCGGCGATAACGCTATTTGTCCGGTATTTCTCCCGAGCGTCGCCCCTTCTCTCCGATACCCCTGCGGCACCACAAACTCGTCGACAGCTTGCAATGTCTCCGCCGGCACTACGTACTCTGTGTTGTCCGTCGTATTGTAGGCAGGAGCAGGCCGTATCACTGGCACACTGCTGCTGCCTCCTCCACCATCCACAACAACCTCTGCCTCAGCAGGTGCTGGCGCCGGCGCTGACGATGATAAGCTTTGGTCGCCAGCTGCGGGGTCATCGTTGTTGTTGCTGGGGGGGGATGGTGTGTTGCTCATGAGGACGGCTGGTACTGGTGCGCACCACCAGCTGTACGCTGTACCGATTGAGTAGGGTACGCCGGTACACTGCTGTGCTGCTCGTCTGCTGGTGCTGTGCGTGTGTATGGCGGTATCGGGTGAATGTCATGCCTATCTTCCCGATTAGCCCGATACCGGTACGCTCGGTACCGGTATTTTCGGTAAGGTATTTACATCGTACCGAACGTACCGAACACTTCCGTAAGGTATTGAAGTCCGTACCGAACGTACAGGTACGTTCGGTGAGGTATTCAAGTCCATACCGAACGTACCGAGCATCCCCGGTATGGTATGGTAGTCCATACCGGTACCGTACCGAACATGTCGGTATTTGTAACGAACGTACCGAAAACTTCGGTAAGGTATTGAAGTCCATACGGAACGTACCGGTATTTTCGGCAAGGTATTGAAGTCCGTACCGAACGTATCGAACACTTCGGTAAGGTATTCAAGTCCATACCGAACGTACCGAACATCTCGGTCCGGTATACCGGAGGTATAATACCGCTGGTACGCCTCGGTATGTACCTTACCAAACACACCCTTAGCATAAACACAATCATCTCTTCTTTCTTGCCCGTCTCCGAAAGATCTTTGAAAAAACGAAGGCGCCCTTATTATATGTTTCCGCACACCTGGCAGGGAACCTTTCAGCATCAGCATGTGGGCGCACCTAACCCTCATCCACGACATCCAGCTATGTGGTGGTGGCGATCGAACGTCGTACATTACATGCGGCGCAATCGCAGGCCTGCTGGGTCTGGTTGTGTCGTTTCGATCTGAAACGGCTATTTCTTCTTTCTTGTTCGACTTCCGTTGCAACATTGATACGTGTCACGGGCGTGGACTCCCCCCCTCCCGGCGTAGCTCGCCTCACGCACAAAATAAGATGGTGCGCCGCCACCTTGAGACTCATAACTGTATGTGTCGGATATGCCTACGGGATAGAATCGACAGTCCAGAACCCCAACCCGCCAGTCATTGGAGACGAGAGGTGCTTTCGCTCCACCCAGGGTACTTTTTCTGTCGTCATTGGCCCAAAGCTGTGTAGCTACGGTGGTCTTATAGGTTTACCTTGCCACGTGGTAGTACACACTACGCGTGCCTTGCCTAACCAAAGATCTCACCAGGGCGTACAGCGCATTCGTTGTTGCTCTCAGCACCACGTTACGCGGCGTGCAAACTGGCCCTTCACCTACTAACGCAATATCGCGTGCTGTGCGAAGTCGGTCCGACCAATCAATGCTGCTGCAGCAGTTGAAATTATGTAAACGTTGCGTGATATGGGAGAGATTGGCGTAACGATGACAACGGGATATTAAAACAAAACAATCACAGAGAGAACTCGTTCGAGAAAATAGCAATGAAAGGGATACGTTGAAGTCTTTCCCACGAGGGTGTGGAGAAAAAACTGTTGTTGCTGGACTCTTCATGTTCGGAAATCAGGCACCGCACACAACGGAAACAAATTCGCCGCATGATCTCAACGTTCCGCACAGGATCATTGTAGGACGCCCTTCGAACAGGATAATTGTAGTCCAATTCAAAACGTTTGGAGGAGAGATTTTCTTCTTCAAGCAGGCACCCGACAGCTTTGTTACATAATCAAATAACACGCCATGCTCGGTGCAACCAACTCTACTTTGCTCCACAACAGAAACAACGACTGGCGAATCGCAACTGCTGTACCACAGTGTACACGTTACTCCGAGAAGGACGGTAAGTAAATGAGATGTGCTGTGCACGCACAGAGGCGTCCCTTCGAAGCACTCGATCGTACAACACCATTTTTTCCACAACAGCGAGGTATCAGTCGAAGTACCAACTCCAGAACTCTCGAGTTTGCCAGAGGGTGTTTGAGAGCAGTCTTCCAGCGAGAATATGTATGGTGTTCCAAAGCCATTGCTGCACCTTGTTCGCACTCACTCGGCCACCAAATGCCCCTAGACTTAAGAGCTGATAGGAAACCGTAGCATCTGTTGGAAACATTTCTTGCTAGATTGTTGAAGCCCTTTTCACTGACTCCATGCACCTTCTTCTCGACATGTCTCAACTGACTGGACGGCCGGTCGGTCGGGGCTCTCTTGTCTTTATCGTGCGTTTCCAATACCCTCGCTTCCGCTCTTCCGAAGGAAAAATAAAAACATTCAAAACGCAGGGCAATAAATATGTCACGAGCGACCCGTGATACTGAGGCGAGGGAGCAGGGCGGCAACCCCAACAGGGTCAGCGTCCTCGACCCTGCCGCCCACGGCCCATCTCCGAAGCAGCTCCACGAGCTGTTGCATATCCTAATTGGCACACCAGCCGGCATTGTGCAGCAGGTGGGTTATTTATTGATGCTGTTTGTTGATGTCGTCAAGGTCGGTGCGGCCGCCAACAACGACAGCAGCGCGGCAAGCGGCGGCAACTGTGGCGACTCAACAGCCAACTGCAGGACTCCAGACCAAGTTGCTACAGGTGCTGCTGGTCAAACCCGCGGTTCCACGACGGTCACGGCGGCAGAACGGAAGAGCGCCATCAGTCTCCTGCAAGCTGCCACCAAAGAGGCAAAGAAGAAAAACAAGATGAGGGGTGCGGCGAAGGCCAGCATCAAGAGCGGGAGGTGTTTGGAGAAGACAACCGATGGGAGCGATGCAGCGAAGGCGAAAACCCTTCAGTGCTGGGCCGCCAAAGGCAAGCAGAACGTCCGACAGCTGGTGAAAATTCTGCTCGGTCTGCTGGTTCGGTGGTAAAAGTTCGACCGGATCACGCCCGCCTGCTCAAGTTCCACGCTCAGGGTATCTCCAGCGAGGAAGCCAGAATGGTAGGGGCATCGGGTTACGAGTGGTGCGAGTACAGCGATAAACCAAACGTGCATTTGTTTTGTTCTCGCTGCGTTCGAAAGCTTGCGATTTCTTCGTCTGTTCGCTCTCGTCTTGACTTCGTATCTAACGTTTCCCGCGCTCACCCGCCTCTGAAGTGACTGCCAATCATGTGTGGTGGCAGGGATCATCTGCTGCGGGGGCTGCCTTCGAACTGATGATAGGTGTCATCGACGCAGCTCTGCACGACGACGGCAAGACCAGCAACGGGTCGGTTTCACCCAGCAGCACCCCGTCTCCTTCGTCTTCCCAAGCCGACATCGCTGTCGGAGGGGAAGACATCCCGACGTCGGCCGTCGACCGAACGTCCACGAGCAAGCAACAGCAACTGAAGCATTTCTCGCATGATGAGCGATCCGACCTCGTCCCCGTTTCCTTGCCCGGGGGCCGCATCGTCGAGACGCCATCTCCATCGTCATGGAGTCAAGAACGGCGTTCATCGAATGGGGCACAACCAAGCAACGTCGCCGGCATTGGCATCGTCGGACACGCCAACAACACCGCCCCGGCCTTTGTGCTGTCAACATCACCGCTATCCTCGTCACTCTTGAGAAAATTGGTCCGGGGTACGGCGGCGGCGGGAGCGGCGGCGTCGCTGTCGGAGGAGACACCGTCTTCATCGCCGAAGGAGGACATGTTCACCATCTTCGAGGCCGCGGACGAGAGGTGGCCCAGCTCGGACGATGATGGAGAGGAGGCGCCCCTGACTAGGAAGATGTGAGTAAAAAGCTGTTCGCCAAACCGTCTATCACGCCTGGCCTCCAGATGATGTTTGTTTCGCTCTTTCTACGGCGGAACGACCCTCTTCACCCACGCTTGGGGTACAGCAAGAGACGACGAGTTCCGACCTCCCTCCGTCCATTCCTCCACCAACGGTGTTTGTTTGTGTTATCTCCACCCTTGCTGACTGCCACCTCGTGATAGGTCGGACTCGAGCACGGAAGGAATCCATGGAGACGAGGAGAACGGTATCTACACACCAGCCCCGTCGGCGTGCACCGATGCCATGGACGGCCCAACGACAGCATAGCCAGCCCACAGGCAGGCCAGCCTTGTGCTCGATGAGGTGACCAACACACCCGGACCCGCCGGGATGGCCGCAGAGGGGGGAACATCGACGACGCACTCTCCTCCACCGGCAGGTGTCGCGCTTGACCAGGAGGTGGTGATGCCGTCCGGCGTTGCGCTGAATCTCGATGCGGAGGCTTCAACAAGAAGCGAGCCGCCAAGTGGGGCCGGGGAACCCTACGGGGGCGGACAGATCGTGCCCTACGGGTACATGCCCACCGGTAAGATTTCCTTTTTGTTCTCGCCGCTTTCTTTTACCGTCGTTCGCAAATTGGGTCACATGTATATTCTTGTTAACCTTCGAACACATGCGAAGAAAACTCGCCTCAATCAATCTACTCTCCACCCAATCGTACTGCATTTCATGTAGATGAAAAGTTGACGATATGCTTGTAAAGTTGTCGTTGTCCAAGAATCATGATGAAAAAGCCTTCCACAACTGACATGAGACCATCGACATTTATTCTTACGGCGACCGATGCCGTCGCGTCGAAACACTTCTGAATCAACAATGAGGTCAGTTCCCATGTCCACCATCCTCTCCCTCCCTCCACACGCGTCCCTTCGCCCTATTTCAAGCAGTCGCCACCACTGCTAGCCCCGAACGCCGTGACGCACGTGCCCCCCTCTCACTCTCCGGCACGGTGGAAACCATCTTGAGCCAGCTGGTGTTTTTCAGGCAGTCATCACCTATCCTCTACAGGACACTCGTGAGTCTCGACGTCACTGCTGACAATATCAAACAAGCTCGCTGTGTTGTTCGGTACGCAAGGGGGGGGTAAGAGAGAAGCAGTTTGTTGTTGTTTCTCACATTAGCTCTAAAAAAAAAAAGATTGGGAGCCCGTGGTCTCAAAACCCGGCATACACGACCCCACGAAGAAACAGAAAAAAATAGGGTACAAAAACCACTTGGAAGAGAAACAAAATGATAGAAAGAAAGACCAGCTACCGCACCAAACGAGAAAGAGCGTCGAGGAGACCGATCAAAATAAAATAAAAGGAGAACGGGGAACGCTTCCCACACCCGCCTACAACGCCGGAGGGTTCCGTGCCGGGTTCCCGCCGACCAGGCATCCCCCGCCCTGCACCACACCCCCAGTGTGGGCCCTCTGCTGAATCGTACGCAGAGTAAGGTGGTTGTTAACAGCACCGAAGGTCGATCAGTCGATCCCTCCCTGCCAATATGAGATAACGAAGAATAGGTTAGTTGGTGGTACATGATTGCCAATACCACAGTGTATATTGGTATTGCCGTTCGTTGACGATAGTATCTTCTGGACGACAGGGGCTTGGAACAATGAAACAGCGGCGTTCATACCGCTAGCTACGTCAAGACACCTCGTCAATGGCCGTAGACTGCACGACAAGGTAGCTCGACCGAAACTATCCCGAAAATGCCCTCAAAACTCAGGCCCATTGATTCAAAACTGCACCTACCTCCGCCAAACGACATCGTAAGGAATAGACGGATCAAGAGAGCGCACGTACGTTTGAGTACATGCACATAGCAAACAAGCACAGTCGCAACCGAGCCGCCTTTACATGCGCACCGGATTCATTCTATACTGGTATTGCCCAAGCAAAATTGGTTGTTCATTCTCGCAGCCCTACCGTCCTGACAACCCTACACCGCTTGTGATTTGACCCTTGCCTCCTTGTATATCATTCCAGGCTGTGAACATCATCCCAAGCCAGATGGACGTCGATCCGTCCATGCGTCTGAGCATCGGAGCGCCGCACAGGCTCGCCTCATTTGGCCCGCTGGAAGCGCGATCGCGCCAGCAGCAGCAGCCACTCCAGGAGTCGATCTTGGGAACACCGCAGGATGTTGGGGCCTCAGCAGTGGGAAGGCAGAGAACCGACCGCCCATGGGTAACTCCTAGCCACCACGAGTTCCAGGACAGCGATGACACGGACGACAGCTCCGTCGCCGCCGACAGCGAGGGAGAGAACGAGCACGATGGTCGCGGCGACAGTGACGCGGGAAACGAGGACGAAGACGACGACGAGCCTCCACCGCCGCCTTCGGCCGGCCGCATCGATCGCGACCCCCTGGACGACCTGCTGCGCGCTTTTGCTGGCCTTGCCGCTCTCCGCGGCAGCTCCGACGGCGTTGAGAGCGACGGCGACGAGCGCAGCAGCGGCGGTTCTTCTTCCGGTGACGCTGACGAGGACGACGCCTCTGCACGGGAAGTGCACGACGAACCCAACAGCATGGGCAGCGAGTCCAGCAGAGATGAGCTCGGCCGCACTCGCGACGACGACGACGGAGCGCGACCTAAACTGCGATGCGCGGATGGGCGTCTTCCTCTGCCTCGAAGAGAGAGAGTACCCCAGATGCAGGGCGGGTTACGAGAACCTTGAGGAAGGCCAGGCTAAGTGGGCTCTGTCGGTCATCGGAAAGATCGCGGACGCGATCGATGCGCCGACGCACACCGTCACGCTTGCGGCCATAACCCTCGGAGTAGCCGGCGGTGTGCCGGGACTCATGGACGCGCTGAGCAATGAACAGATCTACCTCCTCCCCGCGGCGTGCGTGGCGGACTCCATCTGTCGATTGCAAGAATCTGGGACTGAGGAGAGCCCCGCCTATGACTTGAACAGGGCGACAGACGCGATGCTGACAATCACGAAGACCTCGTCGGAGGGCAGGGGTGACGGCGGTAGCGACACATTTGGCGAGACAAGCGACAAAGACGCATAGACTCAACTGCTCGCTCTCGTCGTCCACCTGAACGACGCCTTCCCGGAAGGCCCCTCCTGCCCGGGATCTCTGCACTTCATACACATCCTCGCCGACCAGTCAGGCCTCTCCGACATCCGCACCGACCAGGAGCTCGAGAACTTTTCAACCAGACCGACAAGCGCGTTCGTACCGCGGTCTTGGAAGACTTGCTCCGTACGCTTTCGCCGTCGGACATAGCGCGCGGCGCCTTCTTTGACGCCACCGGTGTGTCCGTCAACTTCACCGTACAAAGCGCATAGGGGGCGAGAGACCCGCCCGGTCGTCGATGCCACGGGGTCGTTTGCGGCCAGTCGACGGTGGTCGGTCGTGGCGAAGACGGCGGCGACGTAGGCCACGATCCTGTCGATTGATGGGGCCGCGGCCGGGGACGGCGG